AACAAATTAAAAAATATGACAAGTTAAAACCAATTGTGCCAAAACATAGCGTCTATATAATGACCAAAACTAATATTACCATACACAAATAAGGAGAGATTTTGTGAATTTGCATGAAAGTCAGGGCCGGCCCTTAACATATGTCGGGTGTGCGACCGCACAGGGCCCGCATTGTTTGGGGGGCCCGATATTTATATAATTATATATACATATATATATATTTATATATGAGATGTCGAAATTAAAGTAAACAAAAAATTGGTGGTTGACATGGTAAAGGCGCTTGATATTTATCATTTAGTCCCAAGATCTAAACTTGGCACAAGCAGTTTTGTTTTTTATTTTTATTATAATAGTTCAACATATCCTTTTATTTCAAACGTAACAAACACATCTATCACATAAGGAATTATCTATGTCAAACCCATCTTTAATTAAATTAATATATAAGTCCAATTAAACTAAGTATATCACATAGAATTAGTATCTAACACAAACACACATTTAATTACTACATATAAGTCCTTAGCCTCTTTTATTTATTTGTTGAGTTTGCGCAATTCGGCAGCAAAGGAAGACATAAGAAAAGGTTCGTTTTTTTTTTCTCTAATGGTAATATTTATAATTCATCATTATTAGTATTTTTTTATAATCATTAGTATTTTTTTTTCTAGTTTACATTGTTATTGGTATTGCTCATTCAATGTTTTGATATATTCAATTAGATTTCTAGAGTTCTTTTATCATAGTTTTAATTTTTATCGAGTATTTGGTTGATTATTGTTATTTTATTTTCAGAAATAATGCCTCCTAAGTATTTATCTGGTAGTCAAAAACGTAAAAAGAGAAAAAGAATTGAAGAATCAACAAAGGCTAACAGTGGTTCTCTAGATAAGTTTTTCCAAAAAAAACCTAAAGTTCCTTCTCAAAATCAAAATAATGATGATATTCCTGATAATTTGGGTGTTGATGTCGAACGAGATCAAATTAATGATGTTAATGTTGATAATGTTAATTTCGATGGAGATCGTGTTGATGTTGATGATGGTAATGACGATGGTGATAACATTGAAGATGATGGTGATGATGATGATGATGATGATGATGATGTTGATGATGATGTTAATGTTAATAGTAATAATGTTGATATATTCGATCCAAGAAATTGGGATGGACTAAGCACAGACATGGTGAAACGTTTGGTAGAGAAAGGTCCTAAAAGGGATAATACTATTGATAAGGGTCCACCTGATAGATTTTCTAGACGGTTTTCTGCAACTATGTATACTAGAACTCTGCCAACTAAACAGACATGTAACAGAGAATGGCTAGTATACTCGAAAGAGCTTGATAAAGTTTTTTGTTTTTGCTGTAAAATATTTAGAAAAGGGATCCCGAAAGGTCAATTAGATAGTGAAGGTTATGCAGATTGGCAACATCTTAGTACAAGACTTAAAGAGCATGAAGTTGGTTTAGATCATCTCACAAATTTAGCTACTTGGTTTGAAATGCGTGAAAGATTGAAAGTTAATGAAACAATTGATAAAGTGGTGTATGATCAATTTAAGAAAGAAAGGGAGCATTGGAAACAAGTACTATTGAGGATTATTGCACTAGTGAAATATTTGGCTAAATATAATTTAGCATTTCGTGGAACAAATGAAAAATTATATCAAAAGAGTAATGGAAACTTTCTTAGAGCGATTGAGATGTTTGAAGAGTTTGACCTGGTTATGAAAGAGCATGTGCGTCGTATCAAAAATGATGAGATCCATGTACATTATCTTGGCCACAAGATCCAAAATGAGGTGATACTTTTACTAGCTGATGAAATTAAACGAGAAATCATTAAAAAAGTAAAGGAAGCAAAATATTACTCCATCATACTTGATTGTACCCCTGATACAAGTCACCAAGAACAAATGTCTTTGATAGTGAGGTATGTAAATTTCTCCTCCAATGATGTTACTGTTGAAGAATCCTTTTTAGGTTTTTTGAATGTTAATGATACGACTGGTAAAGGGCTCTTTGATATTACACACGATGAATTAAAATCTCTTGGTCTTGATATTGATGATATGCGGGGGCAAGGGTATGACAATGGATCAAACATGAGAGGAAAACATCAAGGAGTTCAAAAGAGATTTTTGGACATAAATTCTAGAGCATTTTATACTCCATGTGGTTGTCATAATCTTAATCTTGCACTGTGTGACATGGCTAACAGTTGTAGTAAAGCTAGAGATTTTTTTGGAGTCATACAACGAGTATATACAATATTTTCCAATTCTACTAAGAGGTGGCAAATTCTGAAAGAGAATATCAAAGGTTTGACTCCAAAGTCATTGTCTGCCACTCGGTGGGAAAGCCGTGTTGATAGTGTGAAGGCTATTAGACAACTTCCGGATTTAAGAGAAGCTTTACTTGAAGTTGCGGAAAAAGACAACGATGCTAAAATCCAAAGTGAAGCTAAATCGCTAGCAAATAATGAGCTTTGTGGATTTGAGTTTTTGGTATCCATAGTCATTTGGTATCAAATATTGTACATGGTGAACTTAGTTAGCAAAAAATTACAATCAAAAGATATGCTTCTCGATGTTGCTATTAACGAAGTGAATATGCTAATTGAGTACTTCAAAGAGTTTAGAGAAACAGGGTTCTCCAAGGCAATTGATGATGCGAAGGAACTTTCCGTTGAAATGAATATTGATCCGGTATTCTCTCAAAAGCGGCCGGTTAGTAGAAAAAAACAATTTCATGAGAATTCAAGTGATCAAGATGTTGTATTTTCAGCCGAGGAGAATTTTAAAGTTAATTACTTTTTATATATTGTTGATCAAGCGAGTGCTTCTCTTAAAACAAGATTTCAACAATACAAAGCGTATGAAAATATTTTTGGTTTTTTGTTTCCAAAAAAATGAAGGAATTTGATGACAAAGATCTCAAGTCATGTTGTCGCCGTCTTGAAGCCGCACTTAAGTCTGGTGAACAATCAGATATCGATTCTCATGAACTTTATATGGAGTTAAAGCTGCTTGACATGTTCTTACCGAGTGAAATTACGAGCCCTATTGATGTTTTAAAGTATATGAAAAAAGTCGATTGTTTTCCTAATGCAATTATTGCCTACAAAATCTTATTGACTATTCCCGTAACGGTCGCGTCTGCAGAAAGAAGTTTTTCAAAGCTAAAGTTGTTGAAGTCCTACCTAAGGTCCACAATGTCACAAGAAAGACTTAATGGATTGATGATAATAGCTATTGAGAACGTTATATTGGAGACTATTGATTATGAAGAGTTGGTGAACAATTTTGCTTCCAAGAATGCTAGGAGAGTCTCGCGATTCATGTAGTTGTCTAAGATTATCTATTGTATGATCGTTCTTTTCTTTTGCTTCATATTATAACAATTATGAAATAATTAATGAATTTTTGATATAAGTAAAAAATAAATATATATTTAGGGGCCCATTTTTTAGTTTCGCACCGGGCCCCTAAAATCAACGGACCGGCCCTGATGAAAGTCTCGCAAAATTGGTTAAAATGACAAATGTGTCATTTTGTTTGACCTCATTGTAATCAATTTTGTTATATTGTTAATGAAACGAATTATTTAAGTTTCAATGTCAAAAGAAGAGTAAAAAATATAGTTTTTTTTTTTTAATTTCAAAAGTGAGGTAACCATAGAATTTATCAAATCTTAATATTCAAACTTCATGTAAAAAACATGTATGTAGATCATAGCCCCATAGATAGAGATAGATGATAAAATTTAAAAAATGAAAAAAAAAATTATAAAAAAATTTAAAAAAATAGAAATAGAAGATCCATCGATGATGATGTTTATTTGTTAGCACCAACGGCATCCTTGGCTCCCTCCGCGACTCCTTGTGCTTTGGCCTTCATCTGTTGACCACCCTGTACATAACAATAACATGCTAATTAAAAAACCATATATGCACGCATTTGGACTTATTTTGCAATTTTTTTATGTGTCTATTAAATTTTAATTAATTCTTTTCAACCATCTAATCTATACACAGCTATACACCCACAACCACAAACACAAACCTCTTGTATGCTGTCCTTTGCAGATTGGGCTTTATCTTGAGCCTTTTCGACCAAGTTGCTAGCCTTCTCCTGAAAACATAAAGTACTACTGAATCATCCATCATATGATTTTATGGAATAACAAACTAATTAATTATAAAATTTGATGTAAATCAGAAAATGGTTCTTTCGTCAAGACAAAAACAAAATTCAATGCTTTTTGATCGATTTGTTGCATGCATAATATATATCAACATCAACAAGATGACATGCATCATGCATATATAGCTAGTATAACAATTGTAATCGATCAGGTAAAGTTTACCTGTGTCTGGCCTGCAATTTGGCCAGCATTGTACTCTGCTTTTTGAGATTTATCCATGTTTAGTTTTCTTTAGGATTGCAAAAATAATCAGGAAATTTCAGGCTTTTGATGAATTTGTTGCTGTTGTATATGTTGATGTTGTAGGAGACAAGTTATATATAGTTTTAATATTTTAGTCAGCATGTCATAATTTGGTGGCGTATATGGCTCTCGACCACCTAAGTTTCTCCTTTTTAGACAATCTCTCGTTCAAAATGGATCTCTAGTTGACAGATCTCCAGTTATGCCTTATCTTGGATAAACCCCTCAATATATGCATTTGCGTAAATCAGTTCCTAGCTAGACATTTTAGAGCATCTTTTTCTCATATTTTCGCAAATAATGAAAAATCATTTTTATTAGCACATGAACAATGGATAATTTAATAATAGAGAATTCATAGGTAGTAGAGCTTAATGATGTGACAAGTTTAATTTGGAAGAAACTTTATTATTATTATGAAATGACACATTGATATAACTTTTACATTATTCAAGATTGATTTAATAGGAAAAAAAGTTTTTTAATTTTTAAATAAACTTATAAATTAATTTTGATAATGTTCTTTAAACTTTATAAAATTTAATGTATTGTTGAAAAATTAATAGAGTTATTTTTAATCAAAATTAATCATTTAATATTCCATTCAACTCTATAAAATCATAAATTTTAATGAATTACGATAAACACCATGCTTCTATTGATTTATATACATCCTTGAAAAAGCATGTTAACAAGGTCTAGAAGCAAAAGGCTCAAGCTCATGTTTTCTGCATTTCAACTTAAACCACGGGCCTCTCTCTTTTTCTGCCAACCATTGGGACTTGGCCAACACAAGCTTTCACTCTCCTCTTCAACTCTTTCCTGCATAAACACCATCGTCCAGTTCCAGTTACAGTAATCAGAACGACACATGAAGAAAAAGGTATTTATTCACAGAGACAGAGTACGAGTTTCTTACATCATGAGGTGTCTATCGAGGTATGAAGATGAAAGTAGCCCTTTGTTCTCTTCCGCTCGTCGCAAAAGGTAAGGCATGATCTTATCAACAGGCCCAAATGGCAAGTACTTGCTCACCTTAAACCCTGAATTTCTCAATCCAAAACTCATTGCATCCGCCATCCCGTAAAGTGAAGCAAACTCCAGCTTATCGCTTTCTCTACCAATCCCCAAATCACCTGCCTTTCGCGCGGCCAGTTTCCCTGTTAGGGTCATTCATAACACAAACTCAGTTTGAAGCTATACCGATCGTGTTAAAGATCGTGGATTTTGTCTCAAGAGATACCTCGTTCGGTTTTCATAATCAGTAATTCAGTAGTATTACCCGGAGTAGTATACTCCTGATTCACAATACATTTATCAAATTTGGTTTACTACATCTATATCCTGATTCAAACTTCAAGAACATAAAAAGTATAACCTTCTTTTTAAAAGAATTTAAACAAATATGGAAAAATGGAAAGCAACCCAGATGATGAAAGACGTAAAGTTTCAAACTTTTACCTGATTCAAGATTATGAGTGGCAAGAATGAGCCCACCAGGGCCATTAGAAACCTCGTCTACCATGAACGAAGCACAAGCATTGAAACAACGGTGTGTCTCGTTGATGCTATTGTGAATAGGAGACTCAACACCAAGAGAATTAGCCAATTTCCTTTCGCTAGACATATAAGCTCCTCTTACTAGCTTAAACCCTATCGGCAGTTCCAATTTATCGGCGGCTTTTTTTGTCTGGAACAACCTCTGCCCGGCGTCCTTTAAATACGCTTGAATGGTCCCGGAAATCAAGGGCTTTTGACCTTTGTTGTACATGATTGCTGCTGAATATGTGAAGTAATCGATCCCTGGTTGGATAGAAGTATCCTCTGCATCAATGACTACAGGCACGTTGCTTTCAATGGCTTTATTACATATGGTAGTTAGTCTTTGTTGAGCTAGTTCAAGATCAAGCTCTTCTGCCATGGTCAAAGGGGAGGGTTTTGTTAGTGTGTGGTAGAAAGGACTGCATTCGACAAATATGGGAAGGGTTTTTAGCTTCCATGGGAGCACAAACGAAGATGAATTCTTGTGTTTGTATTCCCATCTAAGTAGATCACTCACTCTCTTTAGCAAAGAGATTGGACAGATAGCTGTGATCTTCACGACTACAAAACTAACCTGTTGTTCATAGGATCAGTAGACATATATACTCAGAAAATAAACAAGATAGATTGATGTGAATTTGATGGATGTAAATTACAGAAGACTTACAGAAGATGAAGGAAGAGATTGGGTTGATTCAACAGTTTTGATGAACTGTTGAGCGTTTGTATCACACGATTCATTATCAACTGCATGCTCCAGACCATAATCCAGCATCCCTCTTAACCCCGACTCCCATAATTTCTTCACTGTTCGACCAGCCTCACCGGTGTCGGAACCGGCAACAAAGTGCTCATAAACCGTATGCTTGATTCCACCTAACACAACCTCTCTTAACAAACCCATCTGCATTAACCTAGAACTCATCACCCACATCCCCAAATCCACTACCGGCTCCACCGAAGCCATGCTAAGGTTCGCCGCTGAACGTATAAGTTTACCGGTCTTAACGGATGAGAAAAGGCGTTTGGTGTCTTCAAAATTATAAACACGGTCGTCATTGGAGTAGTTGATGGTGCTTTGTTCCGGCTGTGCTGGAGGTGCGAAGATAGTGGTGGTTGTCGTGTTAATCGTTGTTCTCTGAGCAAAACGGAAATGGGGGGTGGTGAAAGAGGGAGAAGATGAGTTAAGACAGCGAAGGAAAGATGGAATCAATTTGGAGGAGAGGCCATTTGTGGTCATAGCCATCAACGGGATGATGGCAAAGGCAACGGTGGTGGTGGAGGCTGTTTATAAACCGTAGAAAGTTGCAAGATTCAGACGAATTTGTATGCAAAGAAGCAACTCCTGCGAAATTGCGATGAGCGTGTTGAAGCTAGTGAGGTGTATTTATATTCAGGAGTTTGGTGTTTCGGGATGGAGAATATCCCATTATATACTAAGGTACGATGAATCTTAACATCGTTGTTATTCTAGAGTTTTATCGTTAAATGGTGAATTATCATGTCATCGAAATTAAATGAGACGAAAGGTCCAACTAGAGGGACCATATTAAATAAATTACTTCGATGAATTTTATGTTTTGGGGATTATATAACACTATGGTTAAAGAGTAGGGACCAAATATTAACTATTGATAAATAATTACCATTTGTTTATTAGTTTATTAAGTTGGTAATTTAAAGATTTGATAAGCATATAAAGGCATCTCCAACTACCCCAAACTTCATTTCTTTTATCATTTTTTCCATCATTCTTCTCCAATCGTACCTTATTTTCACCTTCATTTCCCGCATATGAGGAAATATTATTTATATCTCCAAAAATAGAGGTGAAGTTTGGTTGTTAATTTTAATCCCTCTCATTTTTATTTTATATATTTTTAATTTATTTTATCTACTAATAATAATTTAAATATAATATTTAATATTTATAATAAAATATTATATACTAATTTATATTAATTAATCATAAATATAAGGTTTAATTAGTAGATGAGTGTATTTGATAAAATATATAAGTTATAAAAATGGAATATTCCAAAATTTACTTTTTGGGGTAAAAAACAGGGTAGAAAATAAAGTAGGGTTGGAAATGAAATACTATTTACTCTATTTTTTTACTTCATTTATGAAAGGAAAAATAAAGATTGGCCGGAGATGGTTTAAAGAATGAAAAGTACCCATTACAGTTTTTGAATGCACATTCCTCAATTTTTTTTAAAGCCAAGTTCATCTACTATTACTTTACTTTGTAATAGATTACATATCCAACACATATTAACATATATACAAGAATAATTCATTGGATTTATTTAATGAATATAAATAATAAATAACAAGAATAAATGAATCCGCTTGGCCGAGTCTCATAACATGTACGACTTTAGGTGTGATGTTGACATATTAAAACTTTTGAACCGTTGCTTTGAATAAAATGAAAAGTAACAAAATCAAAAGAAAATCTTAAAATATTAGATTGAACAAATAAATATGTTAAAAAAGAAAAAGATAAATATGTTTAATTTCATTTACTATTTTTTAAGACTTAAAGTATGATTACCTAAATAACCAATCATTTTTGTAGATGATATCTATGAAAATTGTTTGCCGCCATCTTCGAAATCATAAAAACGACATCCTTTTGATATTTTTTACAAGTGAATCAGTCCATTTCAAAAATATCATCCGTGAAAACCTCCACATATTAGGTGTATAAAAACCTCCATTTTTGTCTTTTTCCTTCGTTATAATAATAATGATAATAATAATTTTAATAATAACTAGATAGGTTACTCCGCTACGCGGGGGCCAGAAGCTTTCAATATTGTTTCTGAATTGATAAATATGATAGACATAGAAAGTGCAAGGATGAAAAGTCCAAGCTTTGCACCGGATCGTTTTTTCATGTTTTTATGAAAAAATGTAAAAGTCTTGACTGCAAGGACCAGAAGTGTTAAAATGGTTAAAGAATTAAAGGGGTAAGAATTAGCAACTTTTTAAAAAATGGATCAAAGTTGTCAAACCGTTAAACTTTTGTGACCAAACTTTAAATATTAAAAGGTTCCAAAAAAGTGTACAAGTATTGATTACAATGACCAAAAGTGTTAAAATAGGTAAAGAATGAAGATCAAAGTTACCAAAAAACATCCAAATTTAGTATTCCTAACTTTAAAGCCCAATAATAATATAGAAACTAATTCTGCCAAAAAAATAGCAAGTTTACTATTCCTTTTCTTTATAACTTTAATATATATAATAATAATAAATAAATTAATAAATAAATAACTTGAAATTCTCTCAAAACTACTCTTAATCATATAGCTCCAATGTTACTTTTATATACCGTGCTTTCGCTTTAAAAATCACATTTTAAAGTATTGGATGTTTATTGCTTCATTTTAATTTTTAACATATCCATGCACGCGTTCTATAGTTATTGTTGACTTTGTGAATCTTGAGTAAGAAAAATAACAAAATATTTATTTTAAAACGAAAATTTGAGTGAAAAATGTATTTTCGCGGATGAATCATAATGAGTCTTAGAACATATGATAACTTTGAATATTTTAACATATAAATAATTCTATAATGAAACTGTTTGGAAAATATTATAATAAGTTTTTTTTTAAAATACTTTACATTAAAATTGTTTGTATACGAAAGAAAGAAACAACTTATTTTAGGAGAGACAATCGGAGAAAAATGCCAAAATGGGACCTCAGCCATGCCGGAATGACGTGCATATGAGTAGGAGAATCATGACGTACAACGTACAATTGGACCCACAAACTTAATGAGAATGTTTGAGAACTAGCTTGCTTCAATTTTTTTTTTTTTTTTTTTTTAACTATAATTAAAAACATAAATAAATAATAATAATCATTAAAAAAAAAAAAAAAAAAAAAAAAAAAAAAAAAAAAAATCATAACTCAAAATTATTTCAAGTAGCATACTATTTTGCTCTTAAGAAAATTATGTATGTTTTGTTCAAATATGTTTTATGTAGTTTTAATACGACTTATAACACAAAAAACTAAAACTTACAAAAAAAATAAAAAATAAAAAAATAAAAAAAATAAAAATAAAAAGAAGCTCCCACTTATACTTTTTCTTTTTCAAACATACTCTATATGCTAAACCAAGTTCAACCCTATGACTAAGATTATTATTTTTGTATAAATTTACATTTTTTTTCACTCAAACTACAACACAATAAATTTACACCGAAAATATATTACAATATTATAAATCCTAATATGATGAATAATAATCATTGCAAATTATATATATATATATATATATATATATATATATATATATATATATATATATATATATATATATATCATTGAAAATATACTATGTTAATAAATAAATAAGATTTTTTGTATGAAATAGTGCACCAAATATGGAGGCTATTATTTTCATTAATATAAGAATAGTGTTCGGTTTAGAGATCGGTTGTAAATTGTAATGAATAGTGTTGTTTCTATATAAAAATAAAGGTTGGGCGGAGAAGCTCAGGTCCAATATTTGTGACGAATCCGATTGATCAAAAAATTTTGCTATGGTTATAACTATGTAAACGTGTTGTGATCATATCTAGGTGGCTGTAAATAAACTGAAATGTTTAGCGAGACGGAAAGTTCGTTTATTTAATAAATGAACGAGCATGAACACAAATTCTCGTTTGTTTAGTGAAATAAACAAAATGAACAATGATCTCGTTCGTTCAATTATATTCATAAACGTTCATTTATGTTTGTTAATATACGTTCCTTTTTATGTTCATATATGCTTAATTATGCTTTGATTACGTTACTATATTATATGTTTATTTATGTATATATATATATATATATATATATATATATATATATATATATATATATATATATGTTCATTTATATTTGTTTAGCATGAACATAAACAAACCAACATAAACAATGTAATTTGTTAAAAGAACGAACATGAACAATAAAACTCGTTCGTTTATCGGTCCGTGTTCATTTATTTTTCCGACTAACTTAAACAAACAAACACGAACAATCCTCATTCTTGTCTGCTCCGTTTGTTTACAATCTTAATCATATCTAATCAATGAATCATTGAGTTATGTACAAGAAATAATAACGAACATTCATTCCTTTGTTTATCATAATATCATATTTTACTTGTTTTTTATTAAAACATTTAATTTTAAAAAAATCTCCCTGTTTATAATAATATTGTCTTACAAATACAAAATAAGATTCACTATTCTCATTCGTGTAAATGTTGTAATTTATAAAAAAAAAAATAAATAAATAAATAAAAAAAAAAAGAGACTAATAAACTCCTAAAGCGCAACGCAACACCTTTTTGGGAGAACCGGAGAAGGGTCACGGAATGCATGATACAACTTGATGTAGACAAGGCTCCCTTTTGAGATGATATGTCATTTTCAATAGGGATGAGCGTAGGCGGGTACCCGCCTCATTTGGCGAGAACCGGAACCGGCGGTTCCTAGAAAGTTAGAACCGGAACCGGAACCGGTCTAGGCAGTTCTTCAATTTTTGGAACCAGTCCCGGAACCGGCGGTTCCGGTTCCGGGAGCGGGTAACCCGGTTACATCAACTTTATTAAAAAATTTCAATAAAACTATAATTTATTTCGGTCGGAATCGAATAAATTCGGAACAAAAACGGACAAAATCGGATCAATATTTTCTAAATCGGTCAAAATAGCGCACACATATATTGATACTAGATACCAATATATATATATATATATATATATATATATATATATATATATATATATATATATATATATACCCGTTCCGGCGGTTACCCAGCGGGTAGCGGTTCCTAAAAAACGAGAACCGCAACCGGAACCACTTAAGGCGGTTCCGTAACTTTAGGAACCGGAACCGGAACCGCTTAAGGCGGTTCCAGTTTCGGAACCGGCAGTTCCAAGGCGGTTCCGGTTCCGAAAGCAGGTACCCGGTTCCGATGCTCATCCCTAATTTTCAATATATGTGTACTGGACTATTGGATGAATGAAAATCTTGGCCACTCGTTCATTAAGCTTATTATGTCTACGCCCCTAATGTGATATTAAAATTAAGCAGAATCACATTTATTTTAAATAAACAAAAATTGTGAAAAGACTCAACAATTACATTCCCTTTTTCGTCATAATCTATGATCCAAACCCCTAAATGAATCGTTAAAGAAAGACGATTTTGTACAGGTTTAGTGGTCTTGGATGGTTACGTTTTCAAATGAGTTTAATCCATCATACAAGAGACAAGTCGATCATATTCCGAAAATCGAAAACTAAGGGTTTATGGTTGTAGGCTAGCTACATTCTATGATATGATCATGATCATCTGCTAATATAGGTCTTTCTATTTAAACATTATTTTTATTATATACATAAAAATCATTACCATTCTTGAAAAAGTAACTAATAAACCATATGCTATATTATTCAATCATAAATATTAAAGTAACATCTAAAATCCGAATTATCTAAGAAACCCATTAGTTTTTAAAACCTTTCTCCCAAAAAACCATTGTAATCCGAATTACATGTACGTAAAAGTAATACTGGAATCTCATAACAAAAGATTAAATTGCTTCAACAAACATAAATTCAGTCCTACTTTATTTTCATCAATCGACTTGGAAAAGCATCTTCTAAAAGTTGAGCTGCAGATTATGAAATATGTTTTTCTCCATCAAATTGGACATGCAGTTAAAATTAGCTAGCCATATGGCTAAAAAGTGATTACTTACATTTTATTTGAAGATTTAAAACATGACTGATAAAATATACTATCAATGATTGTATTTTAACTTGATAATTTAGCTTGATATTATGACTACATGATATCATACAGATATCAATTCCATCTATTACCTTGGAATTGATCAATTCCCCCATTCGATAAAATTAAGCCATTCCATTCTAATTCAATCTTCATCCAACATTTATAACTAGAATAAAATTTCAACCATGGTAACATCAAATCTTTTTGTCAAACATAAAACTTTCTAATGAGCAAAACAACCAACATATGCAATTACAAAATTTAGACTACACCCCAAAACATCTAGAGTGTACGTAATGTAGGTCATAAAAGCTATACTTTGCTCTAATCTTCAAACCTGATCTTCTTGGGTGCTGACACTTCACTTCCCACCTGTTTCATCAAATTCACCAACACATCAATTTAAACACAATCCATATCAACAAATAAACATAATCACACAACCAAAACCACAAAACGCAATCACACTCTTACAAATTCAGGGCACACATAATCAATCCCAGCAGCCTCGATCTTCCTCCGCCTTTTCTGCTCCCTTTTCAAGATTCCATCTACCACCTTCTTGTGCTCTTCGAATGTCTTTTCCTAAATAACCAAACATCATAACATCACTTAACAACCAACTAACACAAAATAACATGTTTCTTAAGAAAATGGCAATTATTATTATATTATATTATATTATACCTTGTTCTGGCGTTTGCGTTCAATTTGGATCCAGTCAGAGGGTTTGTAATACCGGTTAACACCTTTCCACCTACAAATCATATAAACACAAGTTCATAAGTACAACAAGTCAACAACTTTGACCAGAATGTTATATTGAAATGCTTGCTTACAGTTTAGGATGAACACGTTCTGGAGGGATGAGCTGTACTTGCAACAAATGCTCATACAAGAGGTAATTGTGCATTGTTTCAGCAACAATCTTTGCAACCTGTACATATTTTTCATAGATAGTAAGTTCAAGTCTCCTCATTAGAATTGAGAAAAACTTTAGTTAACAGGTGAGTGAATTGGAATATGTTTAACCTCGGGAGATGCAAACTGAAGGAACCCAAAATGCTTGGATTTTCCTGTCTGAAAAGATGGATATAATACACAAATAAATGAAAAAAATAAGAAAATTTTTTAAAGTATATTGATGTAGAGGCAAAAAAATAAAAGTGGGATGATATAATACACCAATAAATGAAAGTATGTTGTTAAAAAGCTAAAGATATTACCTTCTTGTTCCTTGCTATCCTAATTTTCCTGATTTCACCAAACTGTTTGAAGAAAGCTGCATAAACAGTGGAATAATTGAATCAACTTCAAGTTATAATGGAGCTCCTTTGAGGCATAAGATGTATAAGTTGCTTGTGTGTATATGAACACAAGTTAAGATGGCCATTAAATAACATAAGAAAATCTACCTTCCATTTCGTTCTCGTAAAACCCGTGAGGGATTCTTCCAATATACAATACCGTAGCTTTATTTTCTGAGTTTTCGGTGATTGGCAGTTTTCGTGCTGGACCACCCTCTAATGGCTATTTCATATACACAAACAAATACAAATCAATCAACAACTACCTTCAGATAAACTAAAAAAGGATTAAAACATCAACAATGGGGTGCGTTTTGAATTAGGGCTGCTGGTGGTCAAACTCCATAGAAGAGCTGAAAACTTGATTAAACTTTGGAACAAATACTGCAAATCTGAATGAAGGTAGCAATGGTTCTTATACGTGATTATAAGTATTAGCCATGATAAAACAACTCACCAGGAAATCAGCAGCTTCGTCCTTACGGACTGACGCCGTCAACTCGGTAGAACCCTTTTTTACTTTCTTCATCATGGACTTTTTCGCCTTCATGCCCATCTTCGAATTCAACTGAAGTTCGGTGACTGTAAATCAATTTGACAAACATTAAACTTTGAGATAATAGGAAAACTAACAAATAAACAAGCGGATATGGTATCTAACAGTGTCAGATAGAAAACAATGTAAACGTTGTGTAGATACTTGCGTTAATGGAAAAGAAGGAAGACGGTGGCTGTCCGATGAGGGTTAGAGGCGGCGAGAGGCAGAGAGAAACTGCTAATGTCGAGACCTGCAAATCCCCGTAACCTAAAATTTATTTGGTTTGGATAAATAATAAATAGTCTTCCATAAACCCTGGACTATGAATGATTTTCAAAGATAACCCTGTACTTTCATTTGCGAGTAACCGACTTGCCCAAAAATTTTTTTTTTTTGGCTTTTTGGTTTTTTACACATATTTCATAGAATCAATTGTGATCATTCTATTTTGACATTTGATTAACGGCAAGAGCAATGTTCTAAATAACGTAAGACATGGCTTGACGGCAAGGTCAAAGTTAAATCAATGCAAGCCTTGGCAAGCCATATCGTTTTTAAATGCGTGATTATTTTATATACATTAAAAAATATAAATTATATAATTATTGAATTTTATCAAATATATGAAGTTGTAGAAGTGTTATATCAATATTAAATCAAAAAAGGTTAACAAAAACATAATTATTTTAGCTTTGACAAAAAAATCAAAAAGTCCCGCTTCATGAAAAAAAAACTCGTGTCATAACGCGATAAGGCGTGTCTTAACACGTTATTTGGATGTCACGCTTAACAAACTCGTCTTTGATGTTTTCGTAACGGTTACACCACGTCTCACGCCATGGTGCGCTTTTTAGAACCATGGACAGATGTATAAAAAGATGTACTTGCAAAATATAAATATTTTATAAATTTATTTTGTATTTGATATTTGACCGGCTAAGTTTATGAGTTTCGAATATATCTTTACATATATTAGTAATGTTAAGACGGAGTAGATATATTAAAGTGTGGAGATAAATGTCACAAAGCACATAAAAACAAGTTAATTAAAGTGGAGGGCAGCATCTAGAGTTTTGTATGACAAGGTCTCTTGGAAATTAAAGGGGGTTTTAAAGAGTAGCTATTAGGTTTGTCATGATGTTTGGATTTGAATGTTGGTCGACCAAGAAGGACCATAAAACAAAGATGGAAGTAGCAGAGATGAGGATGTTGAGGTGAAGATTAGTAGAACTTAATTGGGATAAGAAACCAAACGAGACTTTAAGACAGTTTTTAGGGTGGCATGAATCACCAAAAAAGTAAAGGAATGATGGTTGAGGTGGTGTGGGCATATCCTTAGGAGACTACCATCAGCAACGATAAGGGGGGTAAAGTCAATAATAATTGATGGTAAGAGGACGAGGGGAAGTCCTCAAAGGAAGTGAGAGAATAGTGTCAGGCTTGACATGGTGGGTTTTATGTTTCCAAATAACTTAACCTTAAATAGAAGGGCGTGGAGGCTAAACATCATGGTAGATGAGTAACCTCATACTCGTGTATGTTTTGTTTCATAATTGATATTTCGACATATACTTTATGCTCATCTCTTTGTATCCTGGTTTATTTATTCTGTTGCTTTCCTGTTCACATTTTACTTATTTAGTATTGTCTGTCTCTTTTGTTGATTCTCGGTAATTTGACCTTTTTTTAATCTTCATATCTAACTGTTCACTTTGATTTACTTGTTTCGCCTTCTTACAGGTTGTGGGTTGCTCATGGCGGATCTCATCTATGTAACGCCGTCGTTTTACCCCTTATAGAGGTACAACTGTCAATATATACCTCTCTCTTGATCATCAAGAAGTGATCCCAAACCTACAAATAGAGGTTTCTTAAACAAATTGCGGTGGTGGAGCACTAAACCCATTCTTAACCTCACTGAATCCAAATCCCATAACCTTATCAAATTTAGCACCCGGGACATCTTTATCAACCTTTGAATGATCATCTTTGTACCCTTTTGATGTGAATCATTTGTATGGCATCTGCAACAATTAGTTGAATGGACCCAAAATGTTGTGTTGCAGCAGTCAAAACCAACCTCGTCGGCCTCCACTCCAGTAACAATAAACCTCAATTCATTATTGAAGAAGCTGTTAAATCTTTTAAAGATGATAAGCCATTTCTTCAAACATCGTTTTTATAGAAAAATTATTTTTTATCAGTTATATCCAAGCTCCTCTCACTTTGACTTTCATGCATAATATGAGTTTTCGTTTTGCTTAATTTGATAGATTGTGGATATGATCAATATTTGTATTTTTTTGAAGTGGAAGAAACTTAATCAATCATATATATACGGATTCAAATTCAATTTGATGTCAAACAATTTGTCAACCGAACAATCAAACAGCAAACCAATTTGAATAAAGCATTATCAATAGTTAATACTGACAATTCCCAATTCCCAAGGCTAACAAATTCTTAACCGAACAATAAGCAAATGAATAGTCACTTTATGGATTTAACACTATCAACAATCAACAATCAACGATCATAATCAACAATCAAACAATCTATCTCCCTATATACTTCCATAAAACACAAACTCTAATAAAACGAGAATCAAATAACCATCTTAATTATCTTGAAAAAATTGTATGATTAAATTATTCCAAATCCCATGGATCCACCCCCGGACCCTGACATGGAATAATTAACATTACCATCATTGTCATCATTACCAATTTTGGGTGTGGCCCTATCAACAGCTTCAAGAATATCATCCTTGGTCACAAAATCACCACCTAACAACATACCCAAAAATAATCAGACGCATATCTAAATGCTTCAACCCAAAAAAAAAAAATTATTAGAACAAACCTCTGCGAGCAGCAAGTAGTACAGATTCATGAGCTATGTTTTCAAGATCAGCCCCAACTAATCCCGGTGTAAGCGAAGCAACAAGGTCACAAATGACCTTTTTGTCCTCACTCAAGGGCACCTCTCGCAAATATAAACTGAAAATCTTTCGCCTTCCCTCTTCATCCGGTACACCCACAACCACTTTCCTGGAAAACCGACCCGGTCTCATCAGAGCTGAGTCCAGTGACTCTGCCCGGTTTGTAGCAGCTATCACCACCACACTTGCTTCCTTCTCAAACCCATCCATCTCAGTCAAAAGCTAACACATCACAAACAATACGTAAGTCAACAAGTTCCGTAATTAATTACGTATTTGACCTCGAAAAATTGAAATTTATTATTTATATACCTGGTTTAAAGTTTGGTCACGTTCACAATTCAGAGTTCTTCCACGTTGCCCTCCAACAGCATCAATCTCATCAATAAAAATAATAGAAGGTGAACTTTTTCTCGCCTCCTTAAAAAGATCCCGCACATGCGCTGCCCCTTTCCCGACAAAAACCTCCACCAATTCACTAGCGGCAATCGAGAAAAACGCCACGTCAGCTTCTCCGGCCACCGCACGGGCCAGCAATGTTTTTCCGGTTCCCGGAGGTCCGGCAAGTAGTACCCCTCGCGGTAATTTCGCCCCGAGTTTCATATATTTACTATCTCCTTTAATGCATGACACAATCTACAAAACCTCAATCAATCAATCAAATTCAGATCCAATTCAATAAGCAGCAAGGGACAAAATAGTAAATTTTACCTCGAGAAGTTCAGCTTTGGCGGAATCGACTCCTTCCACATCATCGAAAGTTACTGACTGTTTCTTACTTGGTTTTCTTTTAGTCGTTTTTCCAAGATTTTGTTGTGCATTGAGCTGATAACACGAAATCAACACCATGATCCAGTAAGGGGTTAACTGTAACATTAAAAACAAGAAATTCTTCATTGATCCGGATAATTGCTCAGGGTCTGAACCATATGTGACTTCTTTATCTTTTAGCAACTTAATAAGCCCATATTTTTCATCTCCAACGTTTCTTGTGCGAAACTGCCACTTGGGTACAAAAACTTTCAATAATCATTTTGGCTCTGAATCAATTTGTGGGGTTTCAGTTGATGATTTGGTGTTATAGTAGATTTCACGGGAATTTTCCACAAATTGAACATGAATCACATTTCCATCACGAATGTTGCCAACAAGATCTGAGTAGGGGACAACAATGCAACGGCGTGCTTGTTGATTCGGTAGGACAAAAGAGAAAATTGCTACAACTGCACAAAAAGAAGCTCCCACCATAACCGTGTATATCTTTCTACTTATTTTACTAGCAGCCCTCCTCTTAGTTTTATGAATCTTTCTTTTCTGCGTGTCTGTAATAGAAAACAAAGAGACATAGCAAAACACAAGTCAAGAAAATTATGCCCTGAAGACTGAGAAAGAAGTAGATGTTGCATACCATCTTCAGTCTCTCTTGTTGCAACAGTAGTGTCCTCTTTCGACCATTGACATAAGAACTTCACAGATGTTACAGATAATCAGTTTTGTTACGATACGTATACAAATCACACTTGCAAAATATAAAAATCTCCTGATTATACAACTAATTCTACCGAAATAATCCAAAACGCAATTCCATGAAGAATAAATTAGTTAAAATTCAACAATAAAAATGCAATCCATGAACCTTTTCATCCGTTTGCGTGGCATCATCCCAAAAAGACGATAAAGTGGAGCCCAAAAAGTCACCCCAGTTCAAGTTGCCACTAAAACCCTTGTGTTCCTAATGAGGAAGAATAAAAAAAAAAAGTAAAACACAGGATTAAAAGTAAGAACATCGTATATATGAGGCACATGATTACAATATACAACATCTGAAAATTAAAGAAAAAATAAGTACTATTTCGAGTAAACCTTAACGAGTGCAGAGATGGGCAGTGCAGCATGCATCGAAGAAAAACGATGAGAGGTTGGCGGAGTATATAAGAAACACCTTTTAGATCGAGAAGGAGACTGTTCAGTGGGTTTTGGGGCAATGATCATCGGCGAGGGTTTCAACAAAAGGTTTCTCATCGCCATGGAGGGTTTTGGTTCTCTGCGCAAAGGTTTTGCCGCCGCTATAAAATAACAGTAGCGTGGGCTACAAGGTATGGTTAAATATGCGTTTTACACTAGGAAAGATCGGGATTAATTCGACCACAGGAACGAACTTGAAACCTGAATCAAAGAGGCTTAAGGATTCTAGGGTGACAACTCTCCAGACTGATCGATCGCATTTGATACTTGATACGAACGTCTGATTGTTTGTTAATCACTCTAAACAAAATAATAACAAAAATCAGAACGATTGATTTTCACTTTTTTTGGTTTCACGATTTCCTTTACCAAAGGCCCGAGACCAGGAATAAAATATTAGCTAAAAGCCCACTTGAGGTTGATGACTTTAAGGGGGTATTTGGTTCATAGGATAATAGGATTTTTTTTTTTTTTTTTAAAAAATTACTTTTCCTTCTATAAAAAATGGAGCTTTTAAGGAGTTTTTAACATATATTTTTTTTCTGTTATCTTTTTCCAAAAATCTTTTTACCCTTTTAAAAGATATCACAAACACCCCCTAACCCCCTAAGGGGGTGTTTGGCTTAATTTTTCACAGTCAAAAGTTCTTTTTGTAAAAGAAAAAAACAAAAAAATGTTTGGCAAACTAGTAACTTTTGGAGTTTTAATACAAGGAAAAACAACTTTTTGAAAAAGTCAAGAAATCCTGACTTTTGTAACTTTTTGGAAATGGACTTTTGAGCTTTTAAAAGCTAAATCAAACACCCCGTAAGTCTTGAAGGGAATGTTTCAAAATCCTGTTATTTTTTTTTAATCAAACATAGTGATTGGTTTTTCGTTTAACACGGTCTCAACCGGTTTTTATAAAATTTTTATTATGTTTTTCTATACACAAATACATACATACATACATAAAGAATATAATATTTTTATTATGTTTTTCTACGAACAAATACATACATACATACATAAAGAATTTGACGTCTATAAATTCAAACATTAAAATACACATAAAAAATTTATATATAAATCCAAATATATTAAAAACACATAATCATAAGTTATTCATGTACATAAAAAAAAATATAATATCAAAACAAAATATAGTTTTAGATATATTGTAACGTCCGCAAATGCGGGCTAGTCAATTTAGAGACAATAAACATCAAAAATGAGTTTTTGATGGAAGATTATTTAGAAGGATTAATCTTAACCAAGTTGTAGTATATGTTATAAGGGTTCAGTACATATAAAGAGCGACGAAATCCGAGTTATAACAAAGAAGTTATGACCCGTTGAAGTTTTTCGACAAAACCGACATGGCACCGGGATACGTAAATAGTGAATTTACGATAGATGACTTTTTAGCCTTAGTAATCTAAACAAAAGTTGTAGAATATGTTAAACTGAGAGTATCCATAAAAAGAACGCCCAAATCTGACTTTGTATGAGGAAGTTATAAATTTTCTAACATTTGGCATAGCAGTACACGTCCCAAAACTCGAATTTTAGTTCGAGCGGTTTTTGGCCTACGCAACCTAAATGAGAGTTGAAGATTTCATTAATAGGAACTCAGCGGTAAAAGGACAGACGAAAACGGACTCCGTATGTAGAAGTTATGAATTTTATGAGGACATTTAACAGTATAATCTCCTCTTACTGTTAAATTTAAGATCGGTAGATAATTAGCCGACGGACTCTAAATGAAAGTTTTAGATCTTGTTTTTACCTACGCGCGGATATAAAGAATGTCAAGAGTAGAGCTCGTATGTTAAAGATATGGACGAAACTTGGTCCCTACTCTTCGAACGCGATAAATTCGATACAGCTTTGTAAATCTGAGATAGAATGAGAATTAGCTAACGGCGTTTAAATGAAAGTTGTAGTACTCGTAAATACCAACGCATGGATATAAAGAACGTCAAAAATGGAGTTCGTATAAACGAGTTACAAATTATAGTAGCATATTTACGTATTAAAATAAAGTATAAATCATATATACGTACATATATATATATATATATATATATATATATATATATATCATTAGAAAGGTATCGACGATGCGGTTATTATAAGACTAGTGTTGAGTACTTTCGTCATTACTTTAGTACAAATATCGTTAAATCTATTTAAAATAGTATTATGAATGGGTGTTTAGTCGTTTATATAACTGCAATGTCATTAAGTAATTATGGAGGGTAGTTTTGTAAATTCAATTACTATAAATAAGAGGCTTGGGCTCTCATATTTCTTGTACCATTCTCTTGATTCAAGATTCTTTCTCTTCTTGTCCCCCGAACATTTCGATCCCTCGTGATTTAACTTCTCTTTATGTAGTTTTAGTATAGTAAGGTGAGCGCTGAAGCGTTGCACGAATATTTCTTAGAAAGATTCAGCGACGAAGTTCTACCCTTGCAGAGCCCGACTCCTAGCTAAAAACCCCTTATAATTAAGTTATGTTTACCCTATTTTAATATAGCTTATATTTAAAATTAGTATTGTTATTATGAACTTATAATAAATATTTGAGCTATTATTATATAAGTGTCGTTATAATATCTTTTTAACTACTCGTGGTACGGGGAATCTGGTTTAAAGGGTCGCATAGGGTTGTTGGATTTCAGAAGTGTTATATGCCAAAATGGTCCTGCCCTCCGGTGTTTTATGTCTGACGCATGTCTGTACATAGTGGTTGGAAAGTATTGTTTAAACGCTTGTATAATAATAATACTAATAATTAATCACGGTAAATATTAGACTAAAATCTAGTGGTAATAATAATAGGTTTCGTCGAATGAAATTATTTTAACGAAAATGAAGCATTGTCCGATTTTATACAAGTTTTATATGATTTAAACTGTAAATATTAGACTAAACTGTATATGTATTTATATCTACATAATATGTTGGGTAAAACATGGGTAGATGAAATATGAGTTGGATGATGAGTTAAGATGTGATATAGACCATGAGATAAGGGTGAGAGGTGGACGATGTGAGAAGTTTTGTTCCCAAATGTTGGCCCCGTCATCTAGCAGAGTATGAATGACAACCACGGAGTATTCTAGACAGTCCAATGGAACACTAGCAGGCTCGCAACCTGTAGGTGTTGTGAACGATGTGTCCACCCGGTGTACTCTAAACCTTGGCGATCATGCAGACTCAGGGCCGGCTTTACTTCAATAAAAATTAAGCAAGGGCTTAGGGCCCCAAATTCTAAGGGGCCCCATTTAACCCAAATATCTGTTAATGATTCTCCATTCGCTATTCGTACACGCCACAGAAGAAAGCATCAACCAAGCCTGCCGACTCTTCTTCTTCCGATCTTCCTACTCTACTTCTCTTTCTCTGATTCTCCATATAGGAAGAAGCAACCATCATCAATCTATAATATCGATTTCATATTGATCGAATCTTCATTCTTGATTAGTTGATTCTCGTTTCTTCTTCTTCCTCACTGAAAACTTCAAGGCTGTCAACTGTGGTCAAAAAGACAAGAAGATGGGAACTAAAAGTCTGAAACAATGAAACAGTTTGATCTTTATGACTTCTTCCTCTGATAATATGATTCTCCATTGTTGATTCTTATTTATCCATTAGTTTATTAGTCTTATGTTTGATATATGTTATATGTATAATTGTATATCAATTTTTGGACCTTCCCTAGTTCCAGTTCCATTATCTGAATTCTAAAATATTTGAATATGATCATCAGATTAATAGATTATCTATTACGGTTAATGCTAAATAAGGGTTAATTTTTTTTTTAATATTCATTGTGTCAATACCAAAAAATTGATCATTGTAGTGGACCATTTGTTAAGCTTTTTTTCATTTATGAATTCTGATGTGGCTATAGTTTTGTGGATTCTCTAGTAGTCTAGTTTGTATGGCAATATGTTCCAATTTCAATAATATGGTATAAACATGATGTTCTTTTTCAATGAAGGAACATCTATCTCTGAACTAAATGTGTAGTATATTACAATTGAATTATGTTTGGAAGTACATTACCATTAAATCAGGGTTTATAAAATTAAATATAGTAAATACCAAAGGGCCCCAAATTTTTGATTTGCTTCAAGCCCCTAAAATGGTTGAGCCGCCCCTGTGCAGACTTGATGCCTAAACCCTGGTGACCATGCAGACCTAGTGCCTAATCCATGGCGACTGTGCAAACTTAGTGCCTCTTGTGTAAACCATGGCAATGATGGACTTCGCATCGATTCCTTAGGATGATCCTTAAGAATAAATGAACGAGGAATAGTAGATTCTTAGGGTAGATCCTTAAGAGTAAAGAAGATAATGGGGATGGGTAATTGAATTGATTGTTTGATGTTTAAACATATGTAACAGCCCGGATCCCCAGGTATCTTCATTTCTTATATTTTGACATTTTGTGAGGGGACTCGGCGAGTTGGTGGTCGAACTCGCCGAGTCGGGTCGCGGTTTTTAGCGGGGGTTTGCGTCCGGACTCGGCGAGTCCAAGGGATGGACTCGTCGAGTCCGCGCTGTTTAATGAAACCCTAATTTCCCGGTCCTAAGTCCTATTTAAAGGATCTTATGGCCCTCATTTGCGGCCACCTTGAACCCTAAGAGCCTCCATACGTCTGTAAGCCCTTGTGAGTGTGTTTGAAGACCATTTGTTCATCATTTTGTGTGATATTGCAAGGAAAGGAGGGAGAGGAGCAAGCTTGAAGTGTTGGGGAGCTTAGATCTGTTGCTATTTCATCAAGGGAGTCTTCTTGAGGTAATTTTCAGAGCCAAACTTCGTGTTTTGTGTTGATGTGCCAAATTTTAGGGTTTCCTCTTGCATTTCTTGGCTTGAATAAGAAGTATGAGAGGTCCCATGGAGATATGGAACCTAGATCTGGACTTTAGCAGGTCCAGGAGACCCCTTATGACAAGCTTTATGTCCATTCTTTTGAGTTAGAAGCTAAACTTGTCATATTAGAGGTTGTTTCTTCAAAAATAAGCCTTGTATGCATTGCATGGCAACCAAGACTGAGACTTTACGTGACAAATAAGCTTGGGAAGGCCAGATCTATGTATGTATGGAGCGGATCTGACCGCAAAAGCCAGTTTTAGCTGGTGCATGGCATGGACTCGCCGAGTCTGAAGAACAGACTCGACGAGTCGCTTGAAGATTATCCTTGAGACCATCCTGTGCGTAGTCCGGGCCGAGTTGTGGGCGACTCAGTGAGTCGCAGAGAGTTGGAAAGGTTTTGACAGGTGGACCGAGTCAGGATGGGACTCGCCGAGTTGACCTTCGACTCGGCGAGTTGAGTCGCGGTGGCCCTGTGATTCAGGCCCAGGGGGGGACTCGTCGAGTCGGGGGAGTACTCGACGAGTCAAAGGGGAATAACCTTGATAGTTGATTAAAATGCGTAGACTCGCCGAGTCACTAGTGTGCACTCGTCGAGTCCGGTCCAAATTAATTAAAGACGTTTG